CGTGATCATGCGGAGAGAAAACATTTGATCTGTGCATCCTCTTCCAGGTCTAAATCCGCATTGTGCCTCCCATAAGAATCTTTCCGATTTCTCTTGCATCCTACGTGTCAAAACCTTCGAGTAAACTTTACTTGCTAAACTGGTCAAGCTGATCGCCCAATAGCACCCGCAGTCAAAATGTGAACCTTTACCTTTATATAAAGGCACAATGACCGCGGATCGCCAATCATCCGGGACATCTCCCGTCCGCCAGCACAAATTGCACAGCAGATGGAAGCTGTCCCAGACGCGAGGCCCACCGTACTTGACCATTTCAGCAGTAACTCTGTCTAGTCCCGCAGCCTTACCACATTTCAAACTTCGAATCGCACGTTCAATCTCTTTCATGCTGATGACCTCAGTGTCATCGAGGTCCGTGTCTGGCGTGCCAGTCACGGCGTCACCCCCGGATCCTTCACTAAGATCATGACACGCATACATTTCTCTATAAAATTCACTCCATCGCTGCATGACTTCCGATTTTTCTGAGAGGACGTCATTGGTTCTCGAAAGCACTTTGTTCATTCTTAAGGCTGTCGCACCACTCCGGGACCTTCCAACCTCTTTCCAGAAGAGTTTGGAGTTTTCCCTAAAGTTGTGCGACAACCTCTCGTCCGCTTCTATTCTACACCTTTCACGTACTTCCTCAATCAATGTTTTCGCATGAACTTTCTGCAGCTTATATCTTTCTTTCATCTTCTCTCTCATATGCTCATCGTTACTAGAGGCCAAGTAGTCTAACCATGCTTTTTTCTTCTTTTTTTACAGCTTCTCTCACTTCATTATTCCACCATGCATCTCTTCTTTTACTACTACCTCTTTTTGTCGTACCACATACTTCTTCCGCTGCACTTACCATTCCATCCTAAGGTTCTGCCATGTTCTCTCCACACATTCTTTCCTGCCATCGATGGTGTCAAGCTTTTCGGCTACCCTCGTGTGATATTTGTCCCTAGTATCCGCTTCCTGAAGCTTCCAGCTTCGGATGCGACAGACCGACTGTGGTTCTGTTACTGCAGTCCGGTAGCGCCAACCCGCGAACAAGCCCCTAAATCTAGTAATTACTAGATAATGATCCGTTCTCAGGTCAGCACCCCTGAACACTCGTGTATCCATCACCTGTTTTCGCAGTCGGTCATCCACCAGGAACAAATCAATCATACTTCTCTCATTCTTTCTTTCTCTAGTGTACATATGGATTTTCCTGTGATTAAACATAGTGTTTGTCACAAGAAGACCCTTTTCCTTGCATACAGCCAGTATAAGCTTGCCAGCATCATTAACCCTTTTATCGCCAAACTTTCCAAGCACCGACTCGTATCCTGGTCGAGCGATACCTACCCATCCATTCAAATCACCACATACAACAGTTCTTTCGTTTCCCTTAACCAAATCTAGAACTTCTCTTACATTCTCCCAAAACTCCTCCAGCTCAGCCCTGGACGACGAAGCTACCAGCGCATAAACAGCCAAAAGGAATAACTTCGTCAGTCCCATTTTGAAGCGAACCCAGAGAAGTCTTGAGTTCACAACCTTGTATTCAGTCATAAGATCGACCAACCGGGACGACAACAGCACTCCCACTCCCTGACAGGCGTTCTCGTTTTCCGGGTCTCCGGACCATAAAGCTAACGTCCCGCCAGGGAGCTCTTCAGTACCACTGCCTTTCCGTTTGGTCTCCGACATACACACGACATCTAATTCTCTTTCTTTCATTATTTCGATCAACTCATTCGTCTTATCTCTCATGCCCCCTCTAACATTCCTCGTGCCAACTCTGCACTCCGTCCTCCACCTTCCGCCGTGTCGGGCTGTGCGTGACGGGTGGCGGTCCCCATCGCCGCTTTGCGCGCTGCATTCCACACCAACGGGGACGAGCTGGTGTGCGTCGCCTTGGGGGGGACGCCCTAACCCTCGTTTGCATGGGTGCGCAGCTGTGTAGAATTGCAGCCCTGAAAAGGGCTGGCAGGGGTCGCTACGAGTACGCTTCTACAATGACCCCCAAGATATGTACAAAATAATAATAATAATAGTAGCCTTTATTCCAGACATTATTTCATTTACAGTATCTATCTGGATTAATCTATATCTAACATTGGATTATATATTATATATATTTACACTCTCAACGCTTAACTTTGTACATTGACAACCCTGTCTGTATGCCACTAATTGGCAAAGGCCTCCTCCAACCTTTCCCATTCTTCTCTAACATTAGCAGTTCTCATCCATATGCCTCCTGCTATGGCTTTAATATCATCCTATCTTCTACATAGTCTACCTTTTTTCCTTTTCATATGACCTGTAAACCAATTCATTATCGATTTCGACCATTTCTCCTTTCCTCTAATTATATGGCCTGACCATTTCCATTTTAACTTTTTTATTATTATTGTGACATCTTTTGTTTTCGTATGTTTCTTTATGGTTTCGGTTTATTCTATCGGATAGTCTTTCCCCATCATACTCCTTTCCATGGAGTTTTGGTATGTTTCTAACTTTTTAATGTGTGCTTTAGTGAGTGCCCAGGTTTGGCAGCTATAAGTGAGTATCAGTAGTATGCTGGTATCAAAGAGTTGCTTATGTTAGTGTCGTTATTTTTCATTATTTCTTTTAGGCTCGAAAAAATTATTTCCAGGTATTTCCAATGTGTCTGTCAATTTCTTTTGAGGTTAGATTTATAGGAGAGATTATCTGGCCCAAATAGATGTATTCATTAACATATTCAATCAGGTTATTATTGATCAGAATAGGTTCTTCCTTGCCATTGGTCATAGCCTTGGTCTTTAATGTGTTCATGACCAATCCCACATTGCCACTTTCTCTAACCAGGTCATTCAGCTTCGCCTGCAGTCCGTCACTCGATGACGAGAGGATTATCAAATCATCGGCAAATCTCAAATGTGACAGGTTTTCGCCGTTAATGGACAATCCACATTTCTCCCAGTCTAATTGACGAAAGACTTCTTCCAAAACAGCTGTGAAGAGTTTCGGCGATAGCGGATCGCCTTGACGTACGCCTCTTCCTATTATAATATCTTTACCTTCCTTCTCTAGTTTTATCTTAGCCTTGCTGTTCATAGATATTTTTTAGTATTCTGATGTATTTATTTTCGATACCTTGGTTTTTGAGTGCCTGCCAAATTTTTTCATGTTCTATTGTATCGAAAGCTTTACTGTAATCCACAAAGCAGCAGTAAAATCTCGTTTTTCCAATAGTAGTTTAGCTGTTTTTTTGGTGCCTCCGGTCTTTTATAATGTGTGTTTTTATTTTATTACTTAAATTAGCTATGTCTTTTTTATAGTTTTTGTCTTTTCAGGGTTAGATATAAGGTCTGCTCTTCTTCAGTTCTTTAGTTTTTTTGGTACCCATTTTGTCCTGTTGTTTCTACTTTCCATTGCCCTTTTTAGTAGTATAGAGCAGTTCTTCGAATTTATTGTATTTACTCTGTATGTCTAAGTCCTTTTTTTTTCTATGAATTGTTCTAGCTTTCCTTTTACTGAATTGGTACTTTCTAGTGTTAAGCTGTTGGTTTGTTTTACTTTAAAGGGTCTATCTTTATTGAGTGTGTTTATTTATAACTTAGCTCTTAGCATCCTGTGGTTGCTGTTGAAATTAATATTGTTTAAAACTCTACAGTCCCGAAAGTCTTTACTTTTGTTTGTCAGTATGTGATCTCTCTCGTTTTTGTGGTGACCATCTGGAGATATCCATGTCCATCTGTTGTTCTCATGTTTTCTGTATAGAGTGTTTAGTACTTTTAAGTCGTTTTCATATGCCAGTTGGACAAGTTTCTCCCCATTTCTTGTTCTTTTGCCTGAACAATATGGACCCAATATCATTTGTTCTCCGTCTCCTCTTGCCCCTATTCTTGCATTAAAATCTCCCATCACTACTAAATTGTTGTGCGAGTGTTTGATTATTGCGTCTTGTAATATGGAGTAGAACGTGTCGATTTCTGTTCTACTTGATTGTTCAGTTGGAGAGTAGACTTGCACAATCGACCACTTTTCGTTTTTCGGAGATAGTTTTATATTAAGTATAACAATACGCTCTGAGACGCCAATGAACTCGTCAATAAATAGTTTTAATTCATTTTTTATTAAGAATCCTGTTCCATATAAGCCTGGTGTTTCTCCTTTATAATAAAATATAAAATGCCCATGGTCTTCTATACTCTTCCCTAGTCGTCGTACTTCACTCAGACCTAGTATTGACCATTTTACATTTTCTAGAGCTAGTATTAGTTCCGTTAGGCTCTCATTGGTTCTCAAAGACAACATATTGTATGTCGCAATGTGTATTTTATCTGCCATTTGGCGATGTTTTTTAGGAGGAATGTGTAATTGGAAATAAGTTGGAGGGTAATAGTCTTCTTCCCCCACGGTGACTGGCCGGATTGGGGTGCCTTTAGAAAAAGTTTGTTTTATTGTTGTTGTGTTGTCTCGGTTCCGGATGTCGATGTCATTTACAGGTTGTTTGGTATTTCTGATATCATAGCTGAACTTCCTCTTTCCACATAGCTGAGTATGTTAGGTCTTATAGTGTTTTTCCTACAGTCTTGGTCGCTGAGTTGATTTGTGTCTTGAAAATGGTAGTGGTAGCTTTCTTTTGATTTGAATTTTTTGGCGAACGTGACTCTTCTCTTTTTCTCTTTTCTGGGTAGTTATCTTTCTTTTCCGTTACTACTAATTTATTGTATCTTATGAATGCTACATTTCCTTTTTTCTTTTCTTCTTCAACCTGTAACTGCAGCTGCTTGCGTTTTTCTAGCATTTCTTTAGAATATATATATATACATATATATATATATATATATATATATATATATATATATATATATATATATATATATATAAATAAATACAATAATCTTTTATTCTATTTATTATTATTATTATTGCTAAGTCTCCCTAGACTGCTTCAATGTATTGATTGTTCTTTTTTTTGTCAATTTTAGTTCGAAACAGAAAAACGAAACAGCTGGTACATCAACAAACAGAAATGAAGAAATGCAAGAGAGAATTCAGAAAAGATCTCTAAAATTCTACCCTGAGGGTCATCCAATGAATGAATTAAAGGAAATAGAAGAGGACCTTTTTGGACATTTGCGAAATGATAATATAATGCCAATAACTAAGCGACGCAAGCTTTTAAGGCGTCTAAAAAGAAAGAAAGAAAGAATTTTAATGCAACAAAAACAGTTAAGGCTTGATGCAGTACAATATCCACAAGAACAGTCCCCAAGTAAACCAGGCAGCCTGTGGGATGTACAAAAAAAACCTAACCAATTCAGACCGGAATGTGGGACATCAAAGGATAAAATGATAGGTCCAAGAGAGCCGACAATGTACACAATCAAGGACAGTAAAATAGTGAGATTGGAACCAGTGGAAAGGGAAGACGATAATGATGGTGAGGAGAGTGAATTCAGGGCAGTTGATATTGTGATGCCAGTGAATCCAGCTGAGGAACAGCTGTTGGAGGGCACAAAAATGAGTCTAGATGATATAAAAAAGATAGAACGATTTAACGATTACGAACCGGGAATACCGTCGAAAGTAAGTTATACATATTTATTAAGAACAGTAGCATAAAATAAGTTCGTGCTGCTCAGTGTTGATAGAGACAAAACTGATGCCTTCCCCCTCTTCTTTTTGTTAGTATCGAAATTTTTGTTTAACCTTTAGAGTTTATGTTTATTAAAAATGAATATCCCTTACCCTCAACCCTTTGGGCCCGCTTCCCCTCATCTCACCCTTGCTTCATCATTATCTATGAATAAAAGAATATGTCGCTTACTGCGTATGATAACACAGTACTGGTTTCAATTATCGTTTGTATAGGTTGAAGCAGTCTCTTATACCTTGGCACTAGATAGACTCGACCGAGGAAGGACCATGTATCTCTCAAAATACCAGCTGAATTCTGCTGTTTCTAATGGTGAGTGTAGAGAACTGAAGACACTTATTACGTTGGGTAGAGGAGGCATTCTATCCTAGTCCTCAGGGATGACAACGCATCTGCATTTTGATTCATAATTAAGGATAGATGTAGTTGTCTGTGAGTCACAGCATCCACTTACCATCAGATGCACGGTGTGCGCGTTTGTCACCCTTATTTTATAAAAAAAAGCAGCAGTGCCATTTTAGTACATACCCAAGCACTGCGATTTGTATACGCGCTAGTTTGATGATATGATAAAACAAGCTGGAGTTTGTTATGCTGTGCAGTAGTAGTTGGCACCAGACTGATATACTGTGTTCACTTTCCTTGGGTGATGATTTTTGGCAATTCTACGTAATATTTATGATCCAGAGAAACTTACCCATTTTTATAAATCTAAATGTATTTTTATTGAATTGATGTTCCTTAGATCAATTTCGTCAAAATCAACTTCTGAATACTGTCATATTATTTATATTACACCATTTTTAATATAATGCCACAACTATGCTAACTCTAAGACACTCACTCGTCCTAACCTACCATGCCTGATGTATAGTATAAACTAAAAATAGCAATTAGGCTGCATTTTAGTTGTTACAGGCATTCAATAAAATATAAAAAATAAATCCAAATCCGAAAACCATAATTAGTAATTTTCTTAGCTAAAGCTCTAAATGTTGTTTTCATCTAGGACTCATGGCATAATACACCCTTTTTCTGACTGCTAAGTCACAGTAATAATATACTATTAAAATATTTTATCTTTTTAGGTACTTTATTTGAAGAACATTGCACCATCAGTGTCGCAAGAGCAACTTTCACTACTTTTCAACCAGTTTCTACTTGACAATGGTGGTCCCATAGATTTGCATCTACTTACAGGACGTATGAGGGGCCAGGCCTTTGTAACTTTTCAAAGTGAGCATTCATTTGTATTTCCCGTAAATCATATCTTTCAAAACGTTTACGCACAGTTCTATAAATTTCCAATCAAATCAAACAATGCTATGCCATTATATTTTTTAATAACGAAACAAAGGAAATGTTGCAATAAAAATCTAAATATTTAAAATTCTTTATTTCCTAATTTCAGCTGAAGATTTAGCCATAAAAGCCCTGGATGAAGTCAACGGTACCATTTTAAGTGGTCGACCCATCATTGCTCAATTTGGTAGAAACAGCATCCGAATTCAAGATGATAATAGATAAGCAGCATTTTGTAAAAAAATACTAAGTAGTTTTCTCATTTTACATTAGTATTATAAGGAATATTACTGTGGTCTACTATTTATAATCATTAGGATTAATTATAATTAATTATAAAATATATGTAAATAAGGTTTAGATTTAGTTGTTTCATTTATTTTAAAATCCTTTTTTCTCTTCATATAAATGATGAAGTGAAGTAGATTGGAGAGGGCTCCAGTTGTCATTTGTATGAAAACATAACTCTTTACCATTTTTAATTTTATTTTTCTACTATTACACACAATGTAAAACAATTAATCTAAATATTTTAATTAAAACCTTAGAGTGATTACACACATACGTACGCATAGAGAAGCAATTCTACATAAATTGAGTCAATATATTTGTCTCGCTTTTTCTAATTAAATGTTCAAATAAGGCAAAAAGAGACATCTGTTGAAAGGTGTCGCGTGTAATTCATGCGTGGAATAGAAATGTCAAGTTGTCATCTTTGGTCTCTTTATGCTATGCTAAATATCAGAGTAAGTACACTCGTCATTGACATATATTACTAGCGTAAGGACCGGTACAGACCGAACAACTAAAGCGGACCAATGCGTTGGCCCTAAAATTACAGTTAAGGGCCAACGCGAATCGGTCGACAGTGGTGCGCGCGCAGTACAGATTTGCCTGTCACAAATATGTAGTTGCGTGGTAAAAGAATGCAAAAATTACGATACAAAGATAAGAGAAACATGGGATATTGTATCATCAGTAAATAACCTTATATTAATTTTGTTACAATTAAATAATTATATCTTAAACACATTTATAAAGTTTTATTTTACAGTTAGTTTAGTTACGTTACCAAGATTAGGCCAGGGTTGGATTCAGACCCTCAAAAATATTGTACATGGAAAATAAAATTGTAATATTTAAAAAAATTATATCACATTAGACGTTTTGTTTCTTTTTTCCCATGTGCCGGGATTTTAGTGTCACGCATCTAGTTTTATCTATACCTACGTTTCGTTTTTTGATGGTTTTATTTTTATTTCATTTTAAATTTTGTCTAAAGAGCTTAGTGTAAGTTAAATTTTGAATATTGGTACCTAATATATTTTATATTCAATAAGGGTAAAACGAAAAGAGTACAAAAGAAAAGGATCGATCGAGCATCGATTGACCAGAAAGGGAGCTAATTCTAATTTTATTAAAAAGACGCGGTACTCATGTACAATACAGAAATTCTCGATATCGTAGGGTTAATATTAAAATGTAAAAGGACCCAATAATAATACAAGTCGACCTTTAGGTAAAATTATGGTATTTTCCCCTAGTAATACTACGATACTATGTACTACAAACTATGAAATAATGGTACAATTATGATAATTATACTACGAAATCCGACCCTGGTTACGTCGTGTTTTGATATAACGTTTGTATAATGACATATGCGCTACTTTTTCTTATATGAAAAAGTTATGAGTACAATATTTAGATGGGCCTATCCTTCCTTTTGAAGTCACTGACAATTGTGTCTTTTGATTTACTAGAAAAATTACATCCCTATTGTAGTAGAATTATATGTGACATTTGTTTACAGACGACGTCTTTAATAGATTAAAGACGTCGTCTGTAAACAAATCAATGTCGATTAAATCACTATACATAGTGATTTCTTCGACATTGATATACTCGTTTTTGTTTAGTTATTTATTTTTATTACAAGATTAGATTTTTTTTTATTTAGGGCAACCAACAAGACATACACGAACACAATGTAAATACTAGAAATAACAGACACACGGTATGGTACATAGATTACTGTAATACATACATAATGGAACGTTGGAGTGGGCGGAGCCCGTGTAGCCTAACTAACTAACTAACATGTTAATTCACACCTATAAAAATGTCAACACAATGGGTGCGTTTGGCAGAAAAAAGCGCTAGCAAGCGCTTGTAAGCAAAATGGCGATCGTAAGCAGTAAGCGCTGTCAAATCGTAAGTAGCTATTTTCCTCCAGGACACGATGTTAGTTTTAACCGGGGAACCTAACCTAATTTAAATATATGTTTGTAAGTATTCATATTAAAAACTTATCAATCATGAATTTTAATAACATGTATATTATGTCTATTCATGTCATTATATTACTTAAAACTAATTTTACACAAAACAACTTTAAACTCTACTTCAAAATAAACAAATTAAATAAGCAAAATGGCGGATTGTGTCAGCGCTACTGAAGTAGTAATCGTGTCCTGGCCGAAAACTATTTTAGCGCTTGTAAGCGCTTGCTAGCGCTTTTTTCTGCCAAACGCACCCAATCAATCGTTTTCAATTTTCGTGTCAAGCGTCTCTGCAAGCAAATTATTTAAAAAATGGCTAATTGTGCAATAATAACGTATAGAAAGAACAGCGGGAAATGGAATTTAAATAAAGGAGACATATTCTACAACCAGTAAGTCGAAACTATTTATATTTTGTAAATATTAGAAACAAAAATAACGAAATATTGATGTGTCAAAAACATTAATCAAAAGTCTAAAATGTGTAAGTTCGCTCAGTCTGTCAATAGAGCGAATCGGGTTTGTAGTAGTGATAATACGACATAATTGCTTGTATTTTCGGTTTCGTCGCGAGCACACTCCCGACGACACGGATCCTCGTACAAAATAAGGTTGACATCCATTCTATTGTGTATTATAGTATTCTATGGTATGGTAGATAAGCGAGTTGGATCCCATTTGTAATCCCAATTTTATATGCTGACTAACGATCCGCCCTAGCTTCGCACAACTGTTTGCTAAATCTCGACAAGAGCGCTACTTACCGACTCTAATTGTGAGTGTGAGTGTTCATCAAAATCGGTCCAGCCGTTCTCAAGTCATGATCTATCTATACATATAATAAAACAGTAACGAAAGAAAAACTGTACGTTGACTATTTTCGAGAAAAAATAAGTGGTTTTTGTTAGAAAAACGTAACTGATGACAAAAAGTGACTTTTTAGAATTTTTGTCTGTTTGTCTGTGTATATGGTACGGCTTCACGCCAAAACTACTGGATAGATTGAATTGAAATTCAGCAAAAATGTTCTTTGTAAACCAAGGAAGGCTTTAGGCTACATATTATCACGCCGTATGTTATAGGAGGTAAGCAGTATTGATTTTAAAAGGTTTTTCTTCGTAATTGAATGCACAAAATGACATTTAGTTAAAATAAAAATTTAACTCTGGGAACATAATAATCACGCTATTTTCATAAAGGAGCGGGGCAGTAATATTATAAATTGCAAGGGAATAGCTGTTTAATAATATGTCAACGGGGAATTTAGCGGTAAGGTCAGGCGACCGTTTACCACATTAAATGGTGCGAGTTTAAATCCCATAATATTGTTTTGAAAAATCGTAATTTTTGTTTAATTTTTGCACTTTTTATGTGCAATAGGAAATCTGAGAACTTTACATGTCCTATCTAATTGTATGGAGAGTTTCACACCAATATTACTAAACAGATTGATTGGTGGTACAGCAAGTTACACTATCAGTTTGTTGTCTGTGTTGGTTGATGTGTTTAATTTTCCTGCGAATAATAATTATTTTTCTACTTACTAGCAATTCTTACGTACTTATTCGATTACTTTTCATTGTTTTGAATATCGTTAGTATCGGATTAAGAAGGAATTTTAGCTATGCCTTTTAGAAAAAGATCAAATCTGTCTCGAAACTCAAGGGTTTCTAAGATAAGGTTAGTTAGTAGTAGCAGTAGTTTCTCTGGAACCCACGCAGAGCGTGAACAACGGCTAGGTGCTAACCGTGAGCGTAATGCACTAAGTTTGTCCGCAGAAACTAGCACGCAGCGCCAATTACGACTAGAATTTAAACGAGTCCGCACTACTGCTTCTTGATCTCAGGAAAGTGTGGAACATTGAGATATGCGTTTAGCTATCGACCGGGATCGTCATTCTTTGTCTCGCGCATCCGAAACGGTTACACAGAGGGATCAGAGGATGAGTCTTCAGAATATCCGCTCTGAGACTGCTCGATTACTTGAGAGCAGTCAGGAGTGTGAGATACGTCTTGCGCGTGACCGAGAACGTGGGCAAAGCCAAGGGTACAGCTATGTTTATAAAGAGTTTTTTTTTTAAAGTGATTTGCAATATTACTGTTAATTGAGTGTACCCTTGGGATCCGGTGCATTACGCACCGAATCGGTGAAATATACGGGATGAAAAGTTTTTTGTTGTATAGGTGTTAAGTCTAGGCAACATATAGGCTATAATTTATTTTGGAAAATGGAACACCTGATGCAGAACCGCAACAGACCAGCTAAAGTATAAGAGATATAAAAATGATGCCATAGCAAAAAATATTCCACGTGAAGAGTATTTTCTGCTGTGAGAATAAATTTGAAGATCTGGAACACCTGTTGTGGAACTCCAAAGCCCAGCGACATTATAACATATATAGGAGTGACGTCTTAGCAAAAGTTGTTTAGTCTGATTGGCATTTCCTGTTGACTTACAAAAATGAAAGATCTGGAACGTCTCGCGCATCATGTTGTTTTCCCGTCCCCGGGCTCTTAGAATTCGACATCAGACGTTTCAGATCTTCGATTTTGACGACCCCGTTGTCGCTGGCATAAGCAACATCATCCGCGTACGAAGTCGCGATCAGCAGCTAGCTAGTCTTTTATATATGCGGCGATTGATTTTAGTTTATGTAGATTTACCACGTGCTTAGCGGAAAACCATCGACTATATTCAACGAAGCTTTGTCTGCTTGGCTGAAAATATTTCGAAATAATGAAGCCAAAGCAGGATCTTATAATGCCGTGTAGCGACGGCGTAAAAGATTTTTTTTTATTATTTATATTACTTACAAGCTCTGAGACATGTAAGTATCGTAAAAGACAACATAAGGAAATGAAACAGGAGATAGGCAACAGTACCTACCTGATAAAAATTCAATATCATTCAATTCAATAATAAGTTAAGGTGATTTGACAACGCTTGCTAATAGAGGGAACTATAGCAAATATTCCCCATACATTCAGCAGTGGATTCTTGATAAGCCGTAATTAACAAAGATTTAAATAGTTAGATGCGCCTTCACCTTGAAAACTGTGGCATTATTTTTCGATGCGTTCGTTTGCAAGACGCTGACGTGCGCACACTAATGCAATAGTGTCATCCCTTATTATCTTACAGAAATTGTGTATACTACTTTCTTTGTCGCACAAATGAGCACTGATTGCGAATGAGTGAGCTCACTCATTTGAGAATGGACACATTTCGGAGTGGTCATACTATGGTAAGGGCGCATCTAACTATTTAAATCTTTGGTAATTAATGAATTAATGATGGATAATATCATAAGGGAGCAGAAAGGAAAACACGTAACACGTTCGTAATCGATTTATTGTTAGTTGTGATCTAGCGACAAATGAGAATGTAGACCGCGGTCGTGCCACTGTGATTGTACTGTCGTAGCAGTGCACTCTGTACGTTCCGTGAAGCAAACCCAGTGTTGATTAAACTAACACAGTTATTATTGTCAGTGAAACCCATAAGTCAGGATAATTTGGCGGAAATATACCAGGTGAATTTAGGTTCAGGTTCTATAGTTGCAGCACGAATCGGTCGGCTTGACCGGGGAAGGACCGCGCTTTCACAGAATACCACCGTAAAATAGCAGCTTAATGCTGCTGTGTTCTGTATGGTGGGTATAGAGAACCGGAGACCCCTTTTACTGGAAATGAGGCATTCAATCTTAGTTCTAACGTTTAAAAACTCATTTGCATTTTGATTCGTAGTTGAGGATAGATGTAGATGTCTATGGGCCACAGCAACTACTTAACATCAGGTGGACTGTGTGCCCATTAGTCACCCTTATCCTATAAGAAAAGATTTCATAGTGACCTATTAACGATATATTTTAAATTATACAACAATAGTACGAAATTTTGCATTATTCGACTACATTCGACTGTTAGATGTCAGATGAAGCTCTCATAAACTTTCACCGATATAAATAAGTATTACGAATCGGACTAATAAAAATCACTAATTTTACTAAGTCATACTAAATTAATTAATCGACAAAGTTTTCGTTTCGCTAATGGTACATCAATAGAGGTGTTATCGAATGGAAAAGCGGCAACAACCTTGTAAAAGAAAGGTGAGATAGCTATATATCTTATTTTGTACCATGTTAAACGTCATAATATGAATAAAGAGTTCAGCTATAAGAACTTTGTTCTTATTTTAGGACTCTATGCTAGTAATTACTCTGAGATTAAAACAAATAATGACCACATTTTTTTACTTACTGATGAAATTACACAATTAAGAAAAAAAACTATTCTTAGAAGTAAAACTACAATATTTACAAAGAGGGTGTTCACATTATTTAAAAAGTGACATTTGTTTTTTAATTAAATAAAATGCATATTTTACTTCAAACCGATGTTCATTAGATGATTTGTAAATTTGTTATTTGAAAATACTTATATGGAATGATAAACAATATTTTTATAATGCACTTATTACACATAAGCAATATGGTACATGCACCTAATAATGTATTCAATTATAGAAGGAAAATGTAATTTCGAAACAATTTACTGAACTAATGTCCGTCACTGAGGGTCCTTGGTGGAGGACTTGCGACGTCGTTTGACGACGCGTTTTGGTGACAATCATTCGCCCTCTTTCTTCACTTGCGGTTCTTCAGCTGTAATAAATGTAATTGTATTAATATTTTTTTATACCTAAAACATAGATAAGTAAGGCCATGTTCACAAGGGTCTGTCCCTTGTGATCGCGGCCTTCCAACTGTAGGAAGGTTTCACGATGAACGCAACTCATATATTCATTATAATTTACATCTGGCATATACGAAACGGTTACACAGTCGTCTAAAAGGGGTCATGAGGTATTTCTGTCATAGTCTCCTCTTACGACACATATAATTAATGAATGTCCACTGTTGGACGTAGGCCAGGCCTCCTCCATAGATTGTCTCATAGGGAGAGTATTAGCCATACTCGCCACGCCTGCTGCCCATCTCCTGTATGTTTCGCTCTGCCGCCTCTTACAAAACCCACGGGACGATATGGAGTATTGGATATTCTTACACCGTCACGCCTCCACACGGTATAACCACATTGCAAGAATAGAATAGTCATTTAAAACCAACTCCAACTACGACTACAACTTCGTTAAGTTAGTCTAGTTAAGTTTTTATTTGCGAATTGCATATTTAAAAGCAACAGTAGCGCAAAGACGAGTGCTTCGGGCGGACGAGTAGTAGTAGTTTATTTATTACATATTCCACTGCAAACGCACACGTGTTATATGGATGCACCCTCACAAAATCGCGAACTATGCGGCAACCTCATATTCCCACACAACATTGCAACATCGTCTCAACCAGGCAGTTTTGCTGACATGATAGGAAACTCGGTCGCTGTGGACTCACCATGACGCACGCGGTGTCGATCAACTAAGTACTACCAGAAATCTAATGCCGTAAGGCAGTTCTACTGACTTGATGGGAAATGCGGCTGCCGTGGATTCATAATAATGTACGCGGTATCAGCCAACACAGCACTATATAAACGAAAGTTCACTTCATTTCAAGCATCGAACAAGTGCATAGGCTTAATTAGTATTAGTTCTTATACTTGTAATGATATTTATAATAGTTTCTTGAAATTAAATTTATAAAAAGTAATTTTTTTTGGGTCCTCCGACGGCGATATTCATAATTCACGTCACGTGGACGTGCATGCTCTTTTCAGTAGAGGTTCAAATCCGTGTTGTTGATGGGTTTGACACGCGTGTGCCGATCGAATCTCTTCCGTAATAATCTGCATTTTTACGAGCAAATGAATATGAAGACGAAGAACACGCCAGTTAAGGTGTACGCACGTTAGCACGGAGCGTTAGAATATACATTACTTTTGGCTAAAATCCTAGTAGCCAGTGACGCAATAAAAAAGCATAGATGGATGGATGACAAGGTTACCTTTGGCGAGGTGGTGTGGGGGCGCGTGCGGCGGCGCGTGAGGCGGCGCATGGGGCGCGTGCGGCGCGTGGTGGTGGTGCGCGTGGTGCGCGTAGTGCTCACTCGCGTAGTAGTACCCGCCCGGGAACCCGCCGCCGTAGCCGCCGTAGTACCGCCCGCCGTAAGCGGCGCCGTAGCCACCGCCGCCTGGAACCGAACATTCATCATAATAAACCTTTGCAAACCGAGAAGTGCCACTAAGTTATAGAGAGGATTTTGCGCACCAAATACCTAATATTATATGCAATGAAATAAAAAACTCAAAACTATGGAGAATATAATACACACACCATATATATATTTTTTTTTTTTTATTATATATATATATATAACATTACCTCTTCACAAGTATGACGCATATAGCAGCCATCGCCCACCTCGACCATTTTAAAAGGATGTGACCCGCCATACAATGCCGTAAGCATAGACTTTCAACCTTATTTTTTTATTTATTTAATGACATTTACAGGAAAAATAAAATTAAATAAGTTCATAACTTCGCCAAACTTTAAAGACAGTTTGTTGGCGTACAATAAATGCACTCTTATATCCTATTACATAATTAAATTAAATAAGTACTCAACCCACATAATATTACAAACAACTTGAAATTTAAAACATGAACACTATAAATTCCACACTCTATTAATTCCAAATACAACACCCCACCCACATAACATTGCAACGAAATAAAAAAAAAAGATTTGACAAGTGGTGGGGTCGTTGTCGAATTTTTGACGGACGAAACGCAACTGTTTTCCCTGTGACGAAAACTGTTACAGAAAACGGCCGTCGTTACAACTGGTTTGAACACGGCTTAAAGGACGAAACTTGTCCAACATGGAATAGAATTGCGTTTTCATCAAGTGAAATTATAGCAGTTTCTTACAACTTTTAACGATTTGAAATGTATGAAATGGTTTATTAAATAATTCACTTTATCGATCGACTTTACTTAACAATGAAATGAACTTCCCTTCATACTTTTCCAGGCTTAGGACTGGCTGGGACAGGCAGCGTTACCATTAACATTAACGACTGTATTTCATTGATAAAAAGTTCAATTTTCATTGCTTAGTCTCTACGTTTGTAAACAAACGCGGAACGAAAGACCACAATATAACTCGGAACTTTAAAGGACGAAGCGACGAGTGACATAGTTGAATCATTACGTTCTCGTTAATGTATTTTCATAAGCGTAAAATAATAAATAGCACCAAGTAATTCGAAGACTGGCCCACATCCAGCAGTCTTGAATAATGGTGGTTAATATAGCGCATAGCGCCATATTATAGCGCGCTATCTCTCAATAACACATAGCACGTGCTATGTAAGTAGTCGCCATGACGCTATTGCGCTATGGCGCTTTGGCGCTATTAAGTATCAATATCTAGCAGCAACTAGTTCTAGCAGCAACGCTGTTGGGAGAGGACGTGTGACGTAAATTTGATCTAGTAGCGCGCTATTCATCGCGCGGGACCGAATTTAGTGTTATACGTTGTTTAGTTAGTGTATACTGTATATTTATAAGTGATCGAAGGACACAGATGTCTGCTATAAAAGAAGCCTAACTAATGTTTTTAAATGTAAATACAATATAGATACAAAAATGTATATAATAGTGTACGTAAATAGTTGATTTTTATAAATACAATCAATAAACTTTTAAATACACAGTTATTTGATTTATATTAACGTTAAACGTTTACATCAATCATAATAAAAAATAATTTATTTTATTTCGTTTTAAAAAGTCCATGCTTTAAAAATATTTTTAGGATTATAGAAATTCGTAAGCCTGAAAAGTATGAAAAAGTATATTCATTAGTTGTTCTTTACCGCTTTATTTTATTTTAGTCTAAAATTCGACTTATTACGAAATAATGGTCTTATATAGCACTCCCCCGGCGCCCCTTTAATGGGGCAGGGGTGCGAAGAATCTCCGGGAGGAAAACCGGCGACGAGGTTCGCCACCCGTCACGTTCTGTCTCCCGGAGAGGCGAAAAAGTGGATTGCAGAGGCCCGTCTCGCTACGTTGAATGTATGTGGGGCAATGAATGATAAAATGGATGAAGTATGCGATATGATGTATGATAGAGGAATAGATGTGTTACGCGTAAATGAGACGAAAAGGAAGGGAAAGGATGTCACTACACATGGCATGTATACCGCATACTGGTCTGGTGTAGACGAGATCGAGCGGGCATGCCAGGGAGTAGGTATCATCCTTTCAGAAAGAATGGGCCAATGTGTGAAAGAGTATGAATGTGTAAGCCCAAGACTGCTATGGATACGAATGAAAGTGGGCTTAAAGAAGTTATTTGTGTTAGGGATCTACGCCCCAGACATGTCTAAGCCCACTTATATCCGAGAGCAGTTTTGGGAAATGGTAAGGATGGTGTTAATGAAGTGTAAGGGAAATGAAAATATTATTATGCTAGGAGATTTTAATGGAAGGTTTGGGGTGAGGGGGCTTGGTTATGAAAGAATATTGGGAACGTTTGGTGATGAAAGTATAAATGAGAATGGTGAAAGTCTTCTCACCGTATGTATGGAAAAGAATCTCTTTGTGACGAACACTTGCTTTCGCCACAAGAGGATTCACATGTATACTTGGGAAAGAGGTGACGATAGAAGCATGATAGATTTAATAATTGTGGATGAAAGATTGAGGGGCACAGTGGTGGATACAAGGGTTTACCGGGGTTCTAACGTAGGAACGGATTATTATTTGGTTTTATGCCGAATTAATGGTCTATTCAGGCGTTGGCGCCATCGATCATCTGTGTCTACCACTGCGTTACAGCGTATTAGAACAGAAAGGTTACAAGATGAAGGTGAGAAAAACAAGTTCAAATGTAGACTGAAAGAAAATATAAGTGGTTTGGATGAATTATGTATGAAGGAGTTAGACTTGGGGAATGTATGGCAAAATGTAAAGAAAGGTTTAGTGGATGCAGCTACCGAAGTATGTGGTGTTAGTAAGAGAAAAAATGAAAGGAAAAATAATACGTTATGGTGGGATGATGAGGTACGTATGGAAGTTGAAGCAAATAAGAGAGCATGGCTAGATTTACTAACAACAAAGGCTGGTAATTCTAGCGGTACGAATGATGATATTGAAAGAAAAAGGGCAGTCTTTGGACATCTTAATAAGAGAGTAAAAGAAGTAGTTGAAAGAAAAAAAGCAAGAAAGAACGGATAAGAATGATAGAAGAATATCGGATAATTTCCAGGCAAATATTAAAATGTTCTGGAAACTTGTAAGAACTGCCAGGGGACATTCGAAACAGCCTATGATGAATGCTATAAGAGACGAGAATGGCTATATTCTGAATGATGAAGTTTTGAGTTTAAAGAGATGGAAGGAATATTTTGAAAGCGTGTTTATGAGTGAGGAGACAACGTGTGTACTAAGTGAAGTAGAAATTCCGAAAGAAGAGGAAAGAGGTAGCGAGATAAGTATAGGTGAAATAATGAAAGCAATGAAAAGCATGAAAGCAGGTAAGGCTGCCGGATATGATAGAGTTTCACTCGAAATGCTAAGGGCTGGAGATGGTGGCAGGCCTGCTGCACACCTTGTTTAATTTATGCTGGGAACTGAAGCGGGTACCGGTAGACTGGTGCAAAGCCGTGATAGTCCCAGTATATAAGGGAAAAGGGTCGCAGCAGGACTGTAAAAACTACCGTGGCATCAGCCTTCTTAGCATTGTGGGAAAACTGTATGCTAAGGTACTGATTGAAAGGGTCATGAAAGAAACTGATGGAAAAATTTGGGATGTGCAAGCGGGATTTAGAAAGGGAATGGGATATACAGATCAAGTCTTTTCCATGCGCATGATCGCGGAGAAGTTTTTGGCCAAAAACCAAAAGGTTTTTTGTGCGTTCATGGACTTGGAAAAGGCCTATGACAGAGTGAATAGGGATGTGCTATGGCAAACACTGAAGTCATTTGGGTTGGGCGCTGGCTTGATACAGGCATTGGAGTCCCTTTATAGGGACTCTAGTGCTTGTGTTAGGATCAACGGGGTCTACTCGGACTGGTTTGACATCCATAAAGGTGTCAGACAGGGCTGTGTGACTTCCCCCGTGGCTGTTCAACCTATTTATGGACAGTTGTTTGCAAAATTTGAAAGTTAAAGAATGCGGATTAAGAATGGGTGAGTTAAACGTCAAATGCCTTTTGTACGCCGATGATCAAGTTATCCTTGCGTCGTCGGCGGCCGAGTTGCAAATGATGGTTACATTAATGAACAGATCATTAAAAGAAAGGGGTATGAAAGTGAACGCAAGTAAGACGAAGGTTATGGTTTTTGAAAGAGAAGAAAGTAAAACGATTTGTGAAATAAGAATAGAAGGGGAGTTGATCGAGCAAGTAGATGAGTTTGTATATTTGGGCTGCATATTCAGCAGGGATGGGAGATATGATAAGGATATAGAACGACGAGTGAATGCGGGAAATAGAGTAAATGGGGCCCTGCACTCTATTGTGAAGAGTTAAAATGTGTCGAAAAAGGCACGTATGGCAATTCACAATGCTGTGTTGGTCCCTACTTTAACGTATGGTAGTGAAAGTTGGGTGTGGCAGAAGAAGCACGAGAGTAGAATGAACGCAGTAGAAATGCGGTCGTTAAGGAGTATGTTAGGGCTGAATCTTAATGACAGGGTAAGAAATTGTGTAATAAGAGAAGAGTGTGGTTTGCAAGATGATGTTGTGACCAGTATTAAGAAAGGAATGCTTCGGTGGATTTGTCATGTGGAAAGAATGAATGAGGAAAGAGTGACAAAGAAAATTTATGTTGCAGAAGTTAATAGCAGAGTCGGAAAGGGACGTCCTAGGCGAAAATTTATCGACCAAATTGGCGATTTATTGAAAACGGGCCAAATTAGGAGTACCCTTAACCGACGAGCATGTATGCGGAGGTGTATGGACGTGAAGGAGGCGAGAGAGGTGTGTGAGGATCGTGCCAAATGGAAGTCTGTAGTCTCTGCCTACCCCTCTGGGTGACAGGCGTGAGTGTTTATGTTATGTTATAGCACGCGGTCTATCCAATTTACAACATGTAATGTAACGTGCTACGAGATATAGCGTGCTGCAAAACTTAACGCGCTTGCCGGCCTCCTACACGCTTTCTTATAAATAGCGCGCTATAACATAGCGTATTTAATAGCGCGCTAGAAATTTACAGTTTATAGTCTATAGCGTCGGCTGATGATGAATAAGTAGTGGCTAGAGTGGAAGCCTCGTACCAGCAAGCAGTATTACGATGAGAAGACACCATATCAAGTAACAATGAAGCTTTCATAAAGTGAATGGATACGGATAACTTGGGACCATATTCCTTGAAGGAGGGCTTTGTACAGCAGTGGTAGCTACTAGTGATTGGCTAAAGTGATTAGAGACAAAAGAACTCACTCATTTTAACCTACTCATGTCTGTCATGAAATTTGTGGGATAATTAAAAAAAAATAACGAGTAATTATTACAAATGGTAGCACTGGCTAAGATTTAAGCCTCCTCCAAATCTTGGATTTAAACCCAAACAGGGCAAACATTTGCAAAATTATGGCATTTAAATATTGTACTTATGTTTTCCAAATAAGAAAAACATACCAGGTGGTGGAGGTGGGCCGGCGTGCGGTGGTGCTTGATGAGGTCCGGCATTGGGATTTGGTGGGATCATCATTGCTGTAAAAATAAATCGCCAAATAATAATAAAATATAGAAAATTAAAAGAGATGTTGATAAAAATAAGTTTTTATCAATCAAATATGTGTATTTGCAAAGAAAACCTATTTTTATCAACATCTCTTAATTTTCTTAATTACCTTGTGGGCAAAAAATGAGAAGTTACACATTTATATTAGATTTTTTTTTATAGTAATATATATATATATATATATATATATATATATATATATATATATATATATATATTACTATAAAAAATCTATCATATAAATTTGTATATATATATATTATGACAAAACAGCGAGCAATACTAATAATAATAATAACAACAATAAAATTTTATTTGGATTTAGAGATTTCATGTAATTTTCCTTTTGTTTTAATGTTTTGTTAAAAAGAAGTTTACCATGGTGAGGAGGTGACGTGATATGTTGTTGAGGCTGCTGCGGTGTTACTCCTGGATTTGTCGGAGCCCCGTGTATTTCTTTTGGTTCCACTTTTAATTCAACAGGTTTCTCTTCTTTGACTGTGACAGTAATAAATAAATATTAAATTTAACACTTAAAAGCTTTAATGTAATAACATTCAGAATAATAATAAGAATATTGTATATTTTATAAAAAAGTTGAATACAAGTAATGCTATGTGATGTGACCGTGTATTGCCGTTGTAAGAATATCCACTATCCTATATCGTCCCGCGGGTGTCGTAAGAGGTGACAGAAAGAGATAAAAGAGGAGGTGGGTAGCATCGTCTTCCTAATAATAACTAAAAATTAAAAAAATAAAACTTGTACATATGATTTACGAGAGTGTGAATGAAAAAGACAATGTGAGGAAATATGCATGGCTGAAGAATAAAAATATCACCACACACTGGAGCAGCCCGGGAGACTTATTACTTCATAAGCCCTCTCAGAAATAAAGTGAAACCTGTGCCCAGCCATGGGTAAAGACAAGAATGGGAAAGTTCTTTATTACAGGGAACATTCTTTATTACAGGGAAAGTACTATATTAGAGCATCTTACGTCATAATGATAAAAGTAACAGTAAAAAAGACCTTAATAAAATATTTTAAGATTATGAAATAGATCATCATCATCATTATCATCACAAGCCTTTCAAAGTTTACAAAAATATTTATCATAGATTTTCTCATAGGTGGAAATTTGCCATAGTAATCACACTTGGCAGGCTGGTTGGAAACCACAGCTTTTTTATTTTCTAGTTATTATTAAGAAGACACTGCTTCACATCGCGTTTTCTTTCCCTCTGTCGACCCATGGGATTCATTGGCGAAACCTTCATAAAAACCGAGAAGCCGGGCTTGCCCTTTCAAACTGCTCAATCAATAATATCAACTAATAAAATAACTCGTAAACTGTTTCAAACTATTTCAAATTTCCCGCGCGCTCCTTTATTCTACACAAGTCATGACCGCGTAGCATTAGCGATACTGCTGTCATAAAAAAAGGAGTTGAATTGAGCGATTAGTCGTCTCTCTCGCAAGCGTGGGCCTTTTACCGGGCCTTCAAGAAGACAATCGCTGCCTTCTAACCTGTAGTAAAATGTTCTATAATGAAATATAACTACGATTGTTTATATAGCAATTAGTATAGAGCGAAAAAGCCAGGCTTTAGGTATGAGTTAGTCGAGCGCGGGCGATACGTTTGCAAGTTCACTTCACATTTCAATGTTTATTTGGTGTGTTTAGCTTGAACGAATAAATATTTCGAGTTGAAAATGTATGCTTTTTTATAAAGATTTTTAGTAAAAATGGAGGATAATAGTGTTCCTTGTGATGAATTGAAGTGTGTTTAAGTGCTAATCAGCGAGGAAAAGTTAAAATCTTAAAACTTTGTTGAGAAAACCAACATTTTACGCGGACGTAATCAAATCTTTCCTTAAGAAAAAGAGACGATTCGATTTAGAGTATAAATATTTTTTTTAATGTGTACATTGTTTGTACTTTTTTTTTTTTTTTTTTTATATTTTTAGAAAGTTTTAAAAGGGGCCGCCCATTGAATTTTCTTTTTTTCTATCTTGTGTTGCATAACTATTTGTTCATGCTTTTCTTTTGTTTATGTATTTTGTATATTGTATGTAAATATCTTTTGATTTCGCTCGAGCAAAACGGCTTTTTTCAAAGCCACCGAAAGTATGCAATTGCTGATATCTTATACAATCTATCTAGCAGTAGTATGCCTTCAGTGTCCTTTGTTAAACACGTCCTCGACAGCATTGAATATGAAACTGAAGAGTGGCGACAGATCAAGATTGGGGTATTTTTATAAAACTGCTAAAAACAACAAAACCATATCTTGGGCTTGCCCGAGTTTGGCCCTAACTTCGCCACTGATGGGATTATATGGGGTAGTGGATATTCCTACACCGCCACTACATGGTCTAAATTAGGTGTGTTCTTATGCGCGCACTACACGGCGAAATATATAATTAAGAAAACATTTTAATTTTTTTCTTACTTTCTCCCTCTTGCATAGTATTATTGGTTTCAACTGACGGTTGCTCCTTGTTTGCTGCAACCTCGCCTTCAGGCTTATTAAGTTCTGTAGTAATATTTCCATCGGGCTTGTTGACTTCTGTTGTTGAGACTTTGTCTACTTGTGTAGGTGGGTTGGGTCCATTGGCTTCAGCCTTGATTTGGTTTGAGTCTTGCTCCATTGACTGAGAAAAAAATGTTCTCCATGCATTCAAAATATTTTTTTGTTTTATTTAGTCAAACAAATGTCTAATGTTGTAAATTTAAAGACTTTTTTTTGGTTGTAGACTTTTTGGATTGGCATTCGTCATCGATCATTGTGGTAAGCTACGCCTTGTTTCAGTAGTAAATGTCATATTATACCATAATATTATCTCAGTTTAGGAATGCAGCCAGGTAAACTGACTCATGGTTGTCGATTTACCATAACCGGACGTAAAATGTAATGAAAAAAATGTTGGTTAACCCAACCACTGTACACAATAAAAACCAGGGTATGTTAAGATGAGTCAGGGTTATGGGCCATCCACAAACTATAATTGTTATTCCCTCCTCCCAAGACTGTACTTACATCTATCGATTCCCTGCAGGTTTAATCAAATTGTCACTCTAGCTAGTGGAGGTTGTTGGCTTACAGTGCACTTGGAGGTATGCTGGAGACTTTGAAGCTAAGAAGTCTCTAGACATATTTATAATTGATATATGTTAAAACTCTTCCAATGCCGCTTCAGCTTACTGATCTGCATAATATTAATTACTTACTATAAACTTACTAATATTACTACTTATTACTATCTACTACTGCGTCTTTGACTGCCTCGTAAGTCTAGTGGTTTTAGTAGTGCGACTGCTGATCATGAGGTCCTGGGTTCAAATCCCGGGTCAGGCCAAAAAGTCAATCATTGAGTTTTTCTGTCAAGAAATTCTCAGTAGCTGCCCGGAGTCAGGAAGTTGGCGGTGTCTCACCCCCGTGCCTCGGAAAGCACGTAAAGCCGTTGGTCCCGAGCCTGATCTCTCTCCGGTCGTGTCGGTTTACCGTCCCATCGGATTATGAGAGTAAGGGAATAGAGAGTGCACCTGTGCTTGCGCATACACTTGGACGCTATAATCCTGTCCTGCGCCGATGGCTAGCCTCCATTGAGGCAGGCCGCCGTAGCCGAAATTCGGTCTGGAGGACATTATTATTATTTTTACTTCCTAATACTACCATTGAATATTATAGTACTCACCTCGTCCTTCCTCTCCGTAACACTAAGTGCAAGTGGTTGTGTTGGGTTCACTCCACGACGCATTTGCTCCAAAGCTCTTTCTACCATACGTTGGAAAGTGTCGTCATCTACTGCTGGTTTGCAATGCTGGGTTAAATAATTTTTCTTAATGTAACATAATTCCAATTTATATTTAAATTTTACATTAGTGATCTGAGTATATCAAAAGTGCGATTGTGCAACTCTAGTGGTCAAAACATAGAGATCTTGAAAATTGGAAACTTCAAAAATCAAGAAGAAAGTTTATCTGCCAAATTGGCGATATATTGAAAATAGGCCACATTAGAAGTAACCGACACATTAAAAGTAGATATATGGATGCAAAGGAGGCGAAAGAGATATGTCAGGATCGTGCCAAATGGAATCCCTGCCTACCCCTCTATGTGACCGACGTGAGTGTTTATGTATGTATGTTCAAAATCAAACCCATAACAACAATTTACAAAAGGGAAGTTAAACAAGTGGTAATATAAAAAATTTTGTACAACCAACTTCAATATTAATAAAATGAGAACATCATCAATGTATTTGAAGTCAATCAAATATGCATTATTAAAGATCACTCAAAAATTACTAGTCAGATCTTGATAAAATTTATATGGGACCACACGAGAAGCACCAGCTTTCAAATAAAAAAAGAATCACTAAAATTAGTTCTAGAAAAAAGCATTAATACACATTAAAAATACAGTCAAATTTAGTTCTTCCTCCTTTTTGTAGTTGGTTAAAAATGAGACACATTTGGCAAACTTATGAAATATCAATAAACAAAGGAAAATCACCTTCTTAAGTTCTTCCTGGAAAGTCTCGCTGCTTTCAATAAACTTTCTTTTCTTTGCCTCAAATTTTTCCTCAATTTGCTGCAACTCATCTTCAAGCTTTTTCTGATGCATTGTCAATGATTGAACTTGCTTCTTTAAAATCTACAAAACACGATACATTACAAAGAATAATACTTTATTATTTTTTATTTTGGCAGTGGTTGGTAAAGGGTAGTCAACACAACATATGTCGTATAAGATTATAAGAAGAATCTAATTGAAGTTATTTCACCAGACGTATTTCTCTCATAGAATGGTTCCTTTGTATGAGAAGTTATTAGTTGGAAAAACCTTTAATATACACAAGTTTTGCAACAAATAACTTAGTCTTAAAGGAAACCTGACTAAAGTTTAACGCAAATTTGTTCGCAACTTACGCGCCGTGTGCGCCGGAATTTCGGATGGCGGTACATTTGCACGTACGCGCCCGTACGCAATTCTTTTGTGTTACCAAACGGTATTGTGAAACGGTACAGTGACATTGATACGAACGCCATGGAAAAATGTTGTTATTACAACATTTTTGGTGGCCTACTTATTGGTAGAGGAAAAAGAAACTAAAATTCGAAGAAAAAGAAGATTCTGGAATCATAATATTAATTTAAAAGGCAATTGTACTGAGAATATTATACCTATTAGATGATGAACGATTTTTCAGATATTTTCATTTAACATACAAGAAATTTTATTGATAATCAGGGTTTTTCAAATAAAATTAAGTATCAATTTTTGTTGTATTTAAATTATTTTGTGGTTAGGTATTCATATTGATAATTGATTCAAAAATTGATTTTTCAAGTTATGCAAAATTAATTACGTATTAATTATAAGTTATAAAAGGTCTTATGTGACGACTCATTGTTGCCTACACACTAAAGGTAAAAATGCTCCTGAAATTAAGTAAAACTATATTGCGAAACGAAAGTCGAAGCCACCAGTTTTAGTGGAAAATCCACTAAGTTGGCAACATTAGACAATACGAACGCGCCGCATTATATGACGTCATCAGCATGCGTTCTTAAATATTCGAATACCTACCGCATTTTATAAAATGCGGCGCGTACGGTGCGGCTGTAATGTGGGAGGTTTCATATGATTTCATACAACGAATTCTAAAATGTGGCGTGAACGATGCTGACAAATGTGCGTTCAGCTTTAATAAGAATTACTTGTAATCTACAATGAATGTAGAGTTATTCTATTCTATTCTTATGGATCTGAGACGTGGTAATTCACTGCTGGCAGTATGAGGAAGCTTAAGATCGCTCAGCGAGCTATGTGTTTCTCTGCGCGATAAACTTGGTAATGAGGATATGCGTAGTTGAACCAGTAACCGACATAGCTCAACGGATTAGTAGTGAAGTGGCAATGGCCGGCCCATAAGTATAGCTCGAAAAACCGATAACCGACGGGGAAGGAAGGTTCTCGAGTGGCAGCCTTGTATTTGTAAAGTTAAAAAAGTAAAGTTACAGCCTATATACGTCCCACTGCTGGACACAGGCCTCTTCTCATTTCTGAGAGGGTTTTAGGGCAAGGAAGTGTCTGCCGCGCTGCCCCAATGCGTGTTGGCGAACTTCACATGTCTTCGAAATATTTTTTTTTATTTCTCTAACATGCAGGTTTCCTCACAATGTTTTCACAGTGTCCAGCCTTAACGGAGACTAACCATCGACGTAGGAAAGTGCCAGAGTGTATGCGCAAGCATGAGTGCACTCTATTCCCTCACTCTCATAGTACAATGGGACAGTAAACCGACACCACCGAAGAGAGATCAGGCGAAGATTGAAGGCTTTACGTGCTTTCCGAGGCACAGGTACGACACCGCCAACTTCTTGACTCCAAACAGCTACTGAGAATTTCTTGATGGGAAAACTCAATAACTGGTTTTTTTTGGCCCGACACGGGATTCGACCTCATGATGACTAATTACGTTTATAGCCACCAGATCAAGGAGGCAGTCAAGTTTATCAAGTCTAGTTGGCATATTCTTGTAAACAAAATGTCCAGCAGACATAAAAAGATTTTTGATGTGATAAATTATGAACACAATTATTTAAGCTTTTTACATAATCGCAACTTCAATTGTTACCTGCATTCTTGCGGTGGTGACCACGGACCGGACGTCCGGGACTACGGTGTCGGAGAATATCTCGTTGATCAAGCGATGGTTGCGAAGATATCGCGCGTATGCCACGTGCTTGATAGACAAACCTTCATCTTGATCTGAAAATAAGAAAATCTTTATTATACTCGGCGTAGTCTTTTCGATGCCTATATAACAATATTATGATTAACTAAATAATTGGTAATTAGCCGTACAAATCTATAAATAAGTGATGAATATAATATTTTTTATTGAAATTATAATTTTTATTACTCGCTATTAAACAATAAGGAATTATCCTTTGTAAGACCCGATATTTTTAAATTAAGGTTTAAAATTGTACTGCTATAAAGTGCATATTAAATAAGAAAAATAAAACGACATTTACAATGAAAATAATGATGAAAAAGAAAATAGCTAATGTATTATATCATCATTACAGCCTATCAACTGCTGAACTACCAACGTCTGCATCCATCGACTTTCTGCATGTCTTACCAGGTCAACCTCAATCTAATGGGCACTACAATTTGTTTACCTGTACAAACCGATGGGGGAGAACTTTTCTTTCCCATCGGTTTGTCGATTTTTCAAGCTATAGGGCTAGCATTGACATATCAGTTTACTGATCCATTGAGCTGTCAGTTAATATGGTTCTACAGCGTATCGTCATTTCGAAGTCTATCAGTCTATCACGCAGAGAAACTCCAAGCATAGACCTCTTTATAGCTTCCCCGAGTGATTTCCACATACTGTCAGCAGTAAGCCACCACCATGTGTTATAGTATGATTTTTGTATTTTTATGGTACAATATGACTTATGCTGTTCCAATGTATAATTTTAAAATAGTGGACACTGACTGACTGACTAGGGACTGGTGTATAATTTGAACCCTTAGTGAGGTGTGCAACAGGTTTTCTACCTAAACAATTGTCTACCTAATAATTATATTATTTGTTGCATCTGTTAGTGATTGTATAACTTCTAAAAGATATGACCAATTTGGGTCATATTCACTAAATATACTTGTATTAACGAAACAATGCTCCATTGCTACGCTAGGAACCGATTGGTGGCACTGTTGTCAATTTTTTTTAATTCGAAATCATATGTAACAAAAATATTGATGGTCCAAAATGATTCATATTCACAATATATTATTATATTGGTTTAGTTTCAATAAATAACTCACAAATTCTGGACCCGAAAGGTTCCATTATGGTTGAGTTATAAATAAATTTTATATTTACACTGTAAGAAATTTATAGAGAAATTTACAACTATAATAAGAAAAAAACTATACCTTCCTCATCTTCAGCAGGTTGTATGTCAATTCTTCTATCTTGCTGCTGTTGCTCCTTCTGAGAGCTTCCCTTTTTACTTGAGCTCTCCTCCTCCAGATTCCCTACTGCTGATACAAGGTATGTTAATAACATTGAACAAGTACATTTTTTAGCTTCAATGCAGTGAAAAAGTAACATTTAAAGCTAGAAGCTGGTAGTTTGTTTCAACCAATAGCCACATACATCCACATTTACACTTAGCTTTGGGACAGAACATTACAGCCAATGAAATTCTGACCTTCTGGATCAGGTCAGGACAGGGGATAAATTTGTAAGATCTTTAACATAAGATGGCTTTACTAAATAATAAAATGGAATACAATTTATAAAATACTATTTGTGCACAATAATAATAGAACCGTCATAGTAACTACACTTTTTAGGGTTCCGTAGTCAACTAGGAACCCTTATAGTTTCGCCATGTCTGTCTGTCCGTCCTCGCTTAATCTCTGTGACCGTTAGCACTAGAAAACTGAAATTTGGTACCAATATGTGTATCAATCACGCCTACAAAGTGGTAAAATAAAAATTGGAAAAAAAATGTTTTATTAGGGTAGCCCCCCTATATGTAAAGTGGGAAGTGATTTATTTTTAATTTCAACCCTAACGTGTGATATATTGTTGGAAAGGTATTTAAAAATGAATAGGGGTTTACTAAAATCCTTTTTTGATAATGTCAATAATTTCGGAAATAATCGCTCCAAAAGTAAAAAACAATGTGTCCCGCCCCTCTAACTTTTGAACCATAAGTTTAGAAAATATGAAAAAAATCTGAAAAGTAGAACTTTATAAGGACTTTCTAGGAAAATCATTTTGAACTTGGATGGAAACAACAGTACCCACTACCGGGAGCAGTTGTAGGAGCGCGGAGCGCTGCTGGAGCGCGAACATAATGGATACCCACCTTTAAACTCATAAGTGGGAACACTTATTGTGACGGACGGGAAACTACGGAACCCTACACTGAGCGTGGCCCGACACGCGCTTGGCCAGTTTTGTTTCTCAAAGGATACTGTAGGATTTTTCCTGTACTGTACAGACGACTTACATACATACATCCAGACTTGGAACAACTATTTTTTTTTTTTTTTTTTTTCTTTTTCTTTTTTTTTTGGTTTCTTTTTTTCCCTGGGGGGGGAATGAATCTTTTTTTCTATTTGGTATTTGGTCCTGGTGTCAAATATGATTGTACGGTACAAAGGAGGGTAGAGCCAAGCTGCAGATATATTATAGAATGAGTAAGTTTTTTTTATAGAATAAGAGTGACAAACGAGTACACAGTCCACGTGATGGTAAGTGAATGCTGTGGCTCATAATCATTTACATATATACTCAACTACGAATCAAAATGCAGACGCGTTGTCACCCCTGAAGACTAAAATGAAATGCCTCATATTCAGTAAAAATGGTCTCCAGTTCTGTACACTCACCATACGAAACAGCAGTATTAGCTGCTATTTGGTTGGAGCAGAGAAGAGGAAGTGAGCGATACAAGTGTCGTGCCTTTTTTTGCTTAAAATTTAGAGTTGTTGATTAACTATAGTAAATTTTTCTGTCTTGGTGGAGGTTTTAACACCTGTAAATTAGTAAATGTTTGTAGTTGTGCCGTTTTTATGTAATTTTTTGTTGTAGTAATATAATGGAGGACGAACCTCCCGATCCCGGAAGGGTTCGCAATGATTCCTTTTCCTTACCCATTAACATTGATAATGTAGAACTAATTAACCGTAAACGTGCCCAAGTAAGTAACGAGTCTGCCCATCCACAAAAAGTAGTTATTACTGATCCAAATCAACATTTCCTTCAATACAATCCTCATATACCCATCCTGATTTTATTAATAAAAAAGTTAAGTACTCTCAAGATGATGCCGCTCCTTTTCTAGTTCACGTAAGTAAAATCTCAAATGATCAGTTGTCTGGAGTAACTCTTAAACCAATTAAATTCGGTCACTTTCTGTATCATAACAATATTAAAAATATAGTCCGTGATGGAGTCAAAAAAGTTGGACGAAATAGAATATCAGTGGAGTTTAAAACAGCAGCAGATGCAAACACGATCACCCAGCTCTCCAAATTTCTAAATATGAAGCAACCATCCCCTCATATAGTATCACTCGTATGGGGCTAGTTAGACAAGTTCCCATAGAGTGGACACTAGAAGAATTAATAGCAGCTATAGACATTCCCTCTGGCTACGGTTCTATAATTAAAGCACGGCGACTTAATAGATGAACAGTGACAGCAATAGCGTTTCATGGGTTCCAACTCAGATAGTCATTCTAACTTTTTCTGGACAAAAACTTCCTCCCCATATTTACTGTTTTTACACCTCTGTGCCAGTGGATAAATATGTTTTGCCACTAATTCAGTGTCATAAATGTTGTAGATTTGGCCATGTTACTTCCCAGTGCCGATCATCCCCCCCGCTGCTTTGTATGTGCACAGAATCATGAAGGTTTATCTTGTACTCGACAAACTCCTACTTGTCTATTCTGCTCAGGTCCCCACACCGCAAAAGACCCTACTTGTCCTGAACATCTAAGGCAGAAATCTATTAAACTTGTTATGTCACAAGAAAATATTTCATATTTAGAAGCTTCATCTAGATTCCCTCAGACAAAAAGATCTTTTGCTTATACAACAAGAATCCAGCCTCGTAATTCTCAACAGACCCCTTATACCATAACTGACAATCTTTCAACCCCTTCGGCTCAGCTCTCACAAACTGCATCATATAAAAAACAATTTTTATCCCTCAACATACCTACAGCCAATCATTAAATTCTGGATATGATATGGCAGCCCATCAGGCAATTGTTGAGAATCCTAATTCTTCCCTTCCTAATGGGTGTGCTCTACTGGGGAATGACAACAACTCCTCTAGTAATGATAATTTCTGCGAACTTATGATATCAATGCTAATTAACATGATCTCCCGTTTTAGTGACACAGAATTACTCTCAGCTTATGCCAAAAACTTACTCAGCTTTCCTCCTTAGCCCGTAACATTCGCAGTCCCACCAATTGGAATTGTCGGAGCATTATAAATAAAAAAATGAACTCATTCACCTCATTAATAAACTTCATCCCTTCATTCTTGCCATTCAGGAGACATGGCTTAGGCCTGAGTCTCATTTTAGGGTTTCAGGCTACGCATGCAGGAGTGATGGTTGTGCTGGCACCTCTATTTTAATTTCAAAAACAGTTACATTTTCACAAATTCCTCTCCCTTCTCATAGTCCAGCAGTAAATGCTGTTGCTATTAAGTCTCTATTCTCTCTGTTTACATTCCTAATCCTGATGTAAATGTTTTAACAGAACTTGCAACACTTATTTCTTCTCTGTCACCTCCTATGGTTATTTTGGGAGATTTTAATATGCATCATACTGTTTGGGGTTCCCATCTGTGTGATTCACTGGCTCCCTTATTTTTAGTCTTATTGATAATTTTAATCTCTGTATTCTAAATGACGGGTCTCCTACCCGTCGAGTATCCCCATTAAAAAATTTTAGAAGTGCCATTGCCCTAACTCTCTGTTCCCCAGATATTGCTTCCCTTCTTACACACACACGCACGCACGCACGCACGCACGCACGCACGCACACACGCACACACGCACACGCACACACACACACACACACACACACACACACACACACACACACACACACACACACACACACACACACACACACAAACACACACGCACGCACGAATGCAAGAATTATTAATTAATAATTAATTATGAAATGTCACAACCAGATAGATGAGTAAATGAAAGAGGTGATTGGGGAACTCAAAATTCTCATAACACCCGTGTAACATCTCAGGGAAGAAGGAGTGCCTGAAAACCAGCGCTTCATGGGATCTAGTTCCATGTAAGCAAAAGCTGAGTCACCTCCGTTTGCCTAAATTAAATTAAGATTAAATAATTAGTTCATATGTATACATGTTTTTTTAAAAGTGGCAATATAATGATATTTATTTATTTATTATTTTATTTATTTTGTGGCAAATATTACCTTCTAGCTATGGCAGTGACCATTTTCCTATATTCATCACTCCTCCTACTTCCCCTAGAATAAATTTTACATTTTGCCCGAGACTAAAGTACAATCTATCCAAAGCTAATTGGCAATTATATTCTAAAGTTTTGGAACGAGAGGTTTTAACTCTACCCCCAATTAAGAATGATAATATTGCTCCTGTATATATAAGAGTTTAAAAAAAAAACATTCAAAAATAATTATCCTTCCCCTCCTTGGTGGGATCAAGATTGTTCAGCAGCTTGTAGGAGGAGAAAAGAGGCTGAATTAATATACTCCCGTTTTATGACTGCAGAGAATTATATCTCCTATAAAAAAATTGCTGCAGGTTTCTGCAAAAAGGTCAGACAAAAAGCGAACTGGTTGGTTTAAATTCTGTAAGTCACTGTCACCTAGGACTCCCCCATCTTTGGTCTGGAGAAATGTTAAAAAATATCGCTGTGCAGTTTCTAGTGAAAATATAATTTCTCATGATCCTTCCCCGTGGATAGATGAATTCTCTAATAAACTTACACCACAAATAGTCCCATCTTATGATGAATGCCTAGTTTTTAATTCTGCTTTTTTAAAAACAAATGATAAATTTGATTCCCCTTTTTCTTCTCAGGAATTGTTTACTGTACTCAATGGCCTTAAAGACTCCTCACCAGGTATTGATGAGATTCCTTATTCGTTTATAATTAATAGTAGTGAGAACACTAAAACTGTCTTACTATCTATTTTAAATTTTATTTATATTACTGGTGATCCTCCTGCTGAATGGAAAACCCAAATTATTTTGCCCATACTCAAACCAGGTAAGTCTAGCAATGACCCTTCCAGTTACCGACCTATTGCCCTTTCTTGTACTTTGGCAAAAATCTTGGAACATTTAATAAAAAATCGCTTGGAATGGTTTTTGGAAAGGAATAATCTCTTACTTAAAACCCAATTCGGTTTCTGAAAAGGTTTAAGTACCATGGATAGCCTTAGTACTTTGGTCACAGATATTCATATTGCTTTTTCAAGACATGAATTTCTCATAGGAGTTTTCTTGGATATTCTTTCTGCATATGATAATGTGCTTCTTCCTGTGATCAGCAGAAAATGCTTAATCTTAAGCATTCCAGTGAGGATAGTCAATTACATCTCAACTTTCTCTCTTCTAGATCAATATCTATAAATGTTAAAAATTTCCTGCTTCCCCCAAAAACTATATGGAAAGGACTTCCACAAGGCTCAGTTTTTAGTCCTCTCCTTTATTTTATATATACTCATGATTTAGAACTTTCAGTAAATTCTTTTTGTAATGTTCTTCAATATGCAAACGATTTAGCTCTATACATCTCCTTAAACAACTTCACAGTGGCATGTTCCTGTCTGAACTCATCCATGGATTATTTACAAGAATGGTTAACTAATCATGGCCTCTCTTTATCTGTGGCCAAGAGTAGTGTGGTGATCTTTTCCCGCCAAAGGCGAGTTCCCGATATATCTGTTGTATATGATAAGCAACCTATTCCAGTTAGAGGCAATGTTAAATTTTTGGGAGTTATCCTTGATTCGAAATTGGCCTTCGGTCATTACATTGAATATATAACACAAAAATGCGAAAAAAACATAAATATTCTTCGGCCTTTGTCTGGTGTTTGGTGGGGGTCCCATCCTTTTTCTCAGAAATTACTGTACAATGCTTTAATACGAAGCCATCTTGACTATGGATGTTTTCTCTTGAATCCTTGCAATAAATCATTCCTGAAAGTAATGGATAAAATTCAATCGAAATGCCTTCGCATTATTACAGGGGCAATGAAATCCTCACCAATAAATGTTCTTCAGGTTGAGTGCGTAGATCCTCCTTTAAGATTAAAAAGGCAATACCTTTCAGACAGATTCTTATTTAAGATCTGCCAGCTTTCAGATCATCCCATAATTCCTAAATTGCATGTTCTTTCAGAGTATATCTCATCTGACCGATACTGGACCCATAAGAACTCTCCCTGCTTGTTTAAGTTTTGTAATTTTTCTTCAGCTTCCTTACCCAATCTTTATATGTAAAATAAATCCACTCTTTGATGTCCTTTACGAGGCTATTGTTTACCAACCTGACATTCATCTAGATCTAGGTATAGAAAAGGATTCTCCAATGGCAAATTTGAAATTAAATGAACTTATAGAAAACACCTTTAAAGATTGGCTTGTCATGTAAACAAGACACTTCCAAACAGTCTGATGAAGACTATACTGGAGCTGCTGTTTGGATTCCTAAGTTCAAAATCATTCTTAACTTTAAATGCCCCTCACTATCCTCCACTTTTACCGGTGAAGCAACTGCAATCAGTGAAGATTTGTTATATGTAGAGTCACATAATCTTAATAAAACATATATTTTCACAGATTCAAAAAGTTGTTTGTTAGCTATTTTGTACAATCCCATAACAAACATAAATTTCCACTAATTCTTAAAATAAAAAATACCCTATTCAGATGCCATCTTAAAGGAATCCATGTTTCAGTGGCCTGGATCCCAGGCCACAGTGCAATTGCTAATGGCATTCTACAAAATTTAATTTACTCACATGACCTAATTTTGTTAGCTAAAAGGAAACTGAATGAAAATTGGAATAAATTATGGGAAGTTTCCAAAAATGTTAAAGGTAAGCACTATGCTGCCATCCAAGAGGTTATTCCTCCCAAGCGTTCGTTCTTTAAATTTAACAAAGCAAATAAACATGCAACTTCAATCATTTGTAGATTAAGAATTGGACACGCTTGCACACTTGCACATCTGAGTAAGGGATAGCTCATTGTGTGAATGTGGCTTAGATGAAGGTTCCACAAACCATATTTTTTTCAACTGTCCCAAATTATCCTCCTCCCTTTATGATTACCTTCCTCCTTATATTGCTCGACCTATAGATTTTAATTCTCTTTTAACATATACCAGTACTCCTTTTGTGTACATTTTATGTGATTTTATTAATACTAATAATATGAAACTTTAAATCCTTGTCACTTTTAACATACTGGTAAGAGTCTAACACCTGTGTTTGTCATATTTGTTCTAGGTAATTCAACAAATAGATTTGTCAAAATTCTCGGAGGAGAACTGAATCCTTGTATTATCACAGGCTCTTATTTTAATTAAACTCATAAGCTTTCATTTTCCACTCAATACGTCATTGGCGAATTTTATCAAACCGCCACAAAACAAAGAAGAAGAAGCTGCTATTTTTTTATTGGTATTCTGTGAGAGTGAAGTCCGAGCCAACCTATTCATGGTACAACCATAATATAGCTGCATTGTGGCTCTACCATGTGTTAAAATAATATGAGGCATTCCATCTTAGTCCTCAGGGGTGACAACACGTCTACATTTTGATTCTTAAATGAGGTGTTTCTGGGATAAAGCATCTACTTACCATCACGAAAACTGAGTGCTTGTTCGTCATCCAAATGCCCAAATACTCAAACACTGCTCAATTTTAAAATGCACTTTAAGTCAAAGTAACTGTGAGACCACGAGACTTAACAACATCTTAAAATTGAATAGCATTTCCGTATTTGGCCATTATACTATAAAAAAATCAAATTTTAACAACCAATACAAAATGCATAATTATATAGATACAAAGATGAAAATCACTAGCATATATCTTACCTACAGCTTTGTTTTTCGCCGCAATATAGGCCAGGTATGCCGGTGAGTTGTGATACGCCTTGAGACTCTTTTCGTACTCTGACTAGCGGGCACAACAAAGCATTGTCACACCCCATGTGCATAATATATATGAGGTGATGGTGCATGTGGAAGGACAGAAATGGCATTAATATATGTGCGTGTTAGTCACAGTTGCTCAACAAACAAATTTATGAACAAAATCAAATAATTTCATACCGTTAAAAACTATTAAAAGTTCAAAGATATTTTTCTTATTAAGATACGAATGACACACTATTTTCCAAACTATTCTTTATTTTTTGGCTTATTAATCAATGTATAAAATTTAAAAATTAAAGGACATTCACCACTTTATTTTAAATTTTAGCTAATTTACAGCTATCTTATGAATTATAAAAATGATTTGGGTCCCTTTATGTTTTATTTGATTTTGTCATTAAGTAAATAAATAATAATGCATAATGAAGATGTAGAGAATATTAAAATATATAGAATGATAATAAAAAGTTCAACAGCCAAATACAGTCACAATAATAAAAAAATGTGTCTTATTTTGAGTAAATTCTTTGTATGTTAATTTAAAAGAAAATTATATTATTTCAAAATACTAGAAAATTGGTTCCATAATCTCAGAAAAGCTAGTATGTTAATAATTAAAGGTTTTCTTTCTATTTCGACCATAAGTACATCTTTGTCTTAATAGTAATTGTTATTAATGATTTTCCATTTAAACAATGACATTCATCTGACATTGGATGATACGCATAGATACATAAAATAACAATGACACCTCTAAAATTTATATTTTGATTGATTTAAATGATTACAATTTTAAGTTATGCAACATAATTACTTTGTACAAAAGCTGGACTCCTTAGGGGGTAAAGCAGATAATTCATGGTAACAAAAATGTTTCTTTTTTTATATTATAATTTACGAACAAGCTTAATAAGTCCACCTAATGACAGCTAGCTAATGCAAGGTCATGGACACCTGCTACCAGTGGAGAAGCATTAAATCTTAGACCTCAGTGTGACAACACATCTGCAGCTTTCTGTCTAAAATCAGGGTGTTCACAGGCCGAAGTAGCCAATTTCCATAAGGTGCTGATAGTTCACTTGTTACTTCAATTTTAACAAAAAAAAAATGGTTGTAGTCAGTTTACCGACGATAGTTTAACGTGACAACGTCATAAGAAAACATAGATGAAATGATTACATACTTTTATGATTAAAATTGAATTATTTTTATTGAATTATAACTATTTTGTATGGATACAAAAAGGAGTGAAATGAAATCTACATTGGCTTCAGCGTTCAAGCCGATCATGCCTTTCGCTCGTTCGTGCCGCGCTCTCGCTCCGATCGTGCGCGGTTTGGTGGGAGCGTAATGGGACAATGAATAATCATTTTTCGGGCATGCAGTCGGTGTTCATCGGTTTATTAGACGTTGTCACGTCAAAAACCAACTTTAAACAAAGAAGCCCACAAATATGTTTTCACTATTGAGGTCTACAGTGAAATGCCTCATAACACTTCCTTTACATCTTTTCCCTTCAAACCAGAACACAACAGTGGCTTTATTATCCATTGGCGACAAAACAGGTTCGAGGATGGTACCAACACACATGGATTCCTACAGAAAACTGCTTCAACTAGTAATGATTGAAAATTAATGGAATTTCCGTTGGGCGATTGTAACAATGGGGACAACATTTGATATACCATTGATGTGAATATATTACGTAGGTCACATTGGACTGAACTTTGTAAACTAACTTATGGCACAAAATAATAACTAATTTTCTTAATAAAATGACGTCATTAGAAAAAAACAAAAATAGACAACACACATTTTTAAATATACCTAAACCCATTTTTAAAATAAGCGAGTGAGGTGAAGGCGTGGTAAACAAATTGATCCCAATGCATATGGATGCAGAGTTTAAATTCCAATACCTCGAGATTTGTGAGCCAACCATTGAATATATGCAGGCGAACTTTGGTACGCTTTCATCATTTCTGTGTACTGCGCCTAAGCACAAAATTTAAGCAAATTGACAGTTTTCAATTCAGAACTTATTTGTACTGTATTTATCGTATTTGCCAGTAAACAGTTCATATTTAAACATGAGCTTCTCCTACAGGCTTAGCCACAATCACCACTGTTGGAAGTGGATTGACGATCGTAATACCAAACCCGAATCTACACGCTGTTCCCTGTATAGAAGGTTTTTTATTGCCATCATAACTTTGTCACATTTCCAAAAAATAATGCAAACGACATACATGAAATACAATGGGGTAATAAGATGGAATTCCCTTAAGACACCACCACGCTGCGAATGTACTAATAAGTTTATGATGAGAAAACAATGAATTTTGGATCAACCTATAAAATTTAATAAAAGAAATAATGCAACTTATGTTTATAAACGAGGAATCTGAAGTCAATTATATTTAAAAGATAATTTAAATAGTATACATTGAAAAAAGAAAAGTATTGTGTACCTTTTCAGCTTCATATTCATCAACAAATCCAGCTTTTTCTGTCTCTGGTAAATCTCTCCACATGCCACCAATTATTCTACCAATCTCCCATAGTTTTAAATCGGGATGTGCTGCCTTAACACTGTCCCATACTCGGCGCGAGTAGCGCATGTATGGCATTAAAGGCTTTTCTGGCGCTTTCGGTGGTTTCGGGAGGCTTGAACCCTGAAAACGATAACAATAATTTTCGTGATTTATCCAGAGCATTCAATTGTGTTCAACATGAGACATTAAACAGGAAAATTCAAGACTGTAGCATACTTATAGTGTTGTTCTAAATTAATTATTTAACATTAAATAAGTAACAACTAAAAATTGTTGTCAAAAGAGTTCTTCAAAGTCGATATTACAAATGGGCATTCCTCAGGGATCAATTCTTGGCCCTTTCATATTTCTTATTGATATTAATGACATACTTTACATAGTAGGGGATACCTATATGGTATTATTTGTTGATAACACTTTATTAATTTTTAAACTATTATTTTTATTAAACTAAGTGACACCTGATGATAAGTGGGTGATACAGTCCACGGACAGTTGTGAACTTTAAACAAAGAAGGCTACAGATACATTATCTCCTCTGTTAAGATGAAATAAATGCCTCAGAGGCTGTTGTTAAACTGGCTCTCTATACTCTTTAGACCGGAACACAGTTGTGCAAGCACTATTATTTGGTGGCAGAAATAGGTAAGAGAGTGGTGCCTACCCAGAAAAATTAGAATGACAATGAATAAAATATGACAAAGTGAATAATGTTATAATTATCTACCAATGTACTAAACATTAGTTAACATTAATTTATAACAAGTGTTTGATAACTAAACACTAATGTGATTTCAAATGGTGAAGTCTTGGCTATACCACCATTTTACTTGAAATTACTTGTTGCAGTTTAAATGGGGACTCCTTGGCTTCTCACTCATATTAACAGTACCTTTAATGTTAAGGTCAAAGATTCTGTAACACACAACTATTTTTCCGATTTCAACTGTTTATTTCTGCACCTGAAGTAACTGTTATTTACTGTGGGCATTTCAATTTATAATATTCATAAAAAAAAATTAAGTAGGCTATAAGAAAATTATAGTCACTCACATTAATTAGAAATATTAGAACATGAGTGTATTTCATATTTGTTCCTACTCTGCCGAATTTGTACTTACCAAATAGCAACAAACGTCTGAGAGGACATCAACTTAAACTTTGCCATAGGACTGCCAAGCGGAATCCCATGAAGAATTTTATAACAAACCGTGTTGTCACCGAGTGGAATAAGCTACCACAAAATGTGATTGATGCTCCTACATTGAACGCCTTCAAGAACAGATTGGATAAAATCTCCAAACATTAAGATGCACACGCATCAGCTTTTTTAGCTGCTAGTGTGTTTATGTATAAATAATAATAAATAAAAATAATAAAATAAATAATAATATTTAAATAAACACTTAACATACCGAACCAGCTCCTTTTCCAATCTTCTGCGGTTGGAACCCAGGATGTGAATGTACAGTCGAAATGAATGGACTAGTTTTATCATCCTTCGAGGCCTGTGTGGCCGTGCTTCCCCCGCCTCCAGACGTGGTCCTCCTTGTGCTCTCTGCAGCGAAACGCGGTTGTTGTGGAGGCGGCCACGCTCCAAATCCATGGCCACCATGGCCCACTGGCCCACCTTGGTATTGCGGGTGGTACTGGTATTGGTTATGGTGTGGCGGTGCATTCATACCGCCTTCAAGCCAAGCAGCGGGGCGGCAATACAATGAAAGAAAAAACAAAAAGCATAAGGGGATAGGACAGGAGAGGGATGAGGATAAATAAAAAAGATAAATTATAAATGCACTAAATCTAACTTGATTGCTTTTAAAGTGTTTAGAGAGTATTAGTGTGAGCGAGCGGTCAGTAATAGCGATTAGTGTTTAGTAGGCACTAATTCAGCAGAGAATAGATATTTGCATATTTTATAGAAGTAAACTTGTAAAATGGCACGAGTGTGAATTTGGAAAAAGAAATCTTGTGTCATTAAATTTTTTAAAACCCCATAGAGTACCTAGATCCGAAACAGATGAGCGTGTGAGAATTTTGAATAATACTTAGTAAATAAACTTCATTGTCTTATTACCTTTCATCATACCGAAACTCATTGGGGGCCCCGCAATCATGTAGTCTGTTTCAACATAACATAACATGAAACAAAACCAACAAAAGAGAACAAGGTAAGTCTAAAATGTATATACAAGTATAAAATTAATAAGAAATCATAATAGACAAGTTGCAGATGCATAAAACTGAATGAGATAAAAGCAGAGACAGCAGCATGCTTGTCAGGATCAACACAGCGGTTAGATACCAGCAATACCAAGTACTGTACTGAACCCTGCTAAGCTTGCATCGCAAGGATTATAGTCTAGCACTTTCATATTGTTAAATAAGTTAGTAACTAACATTCTACAATGCATTAAATATGTTTATATTTTGTTTATCATCATTAAAAAAATCTTTGAATATTCTTAAGGTGATAGAAGAAAACTATTTTGTTAGATGTTTAATTTTAACTTTATCCCTCCATATTTGTACATGACCGTGAGCACTGTAAAGCACTTGAAAGACGGGAACACAATAAGTTGAAATTAAACTTGATAAGATCCATGAACAATGTTTTATACAATATTTTGTTATGAAAAACATGCTTATTCTTCATTCATTGATCATTATTCACTACAACTGATTAAAAGTTCACTGGTCTATGCATAGACCTTTGTTGCTACGCTCGGCAGTCACATATTATTTTGAGCTGTTATCAAGGTGCTGCGGTCCTTCTTCTAATTAATTTCAATTTGTCGCTTCTAACAACACCATAGTGGATTCTGTTAAGCAGCTACTATATGGAGAAAATTCCTTAATAAAAATATATTTATATTATAGGTATTAATTATTTAAAAACAACAAGGAGGAATACAAACGCGGATTGCTCTGTGGACTTGGCATCGACATTGATGAGTTCTGTTTGTAACTATTTGAAGTTGCCATAACATGCAGGCTCGTTCTGAAATAAAGAAAAATAAAACTCATTTATTCCTAGAAATAGAGCTACAGACCTGAACATTGGGAAAAAAGTGACTTAAATTAAATTAATTTTAACTTATATTAAATTAAATAATAATTACATATAAATTCTTATTACATATAAAAAAGGTACTGGCGGGCCCCAAACTAGGCATAGCCTGTATCTTGGGGACCAGGAGTACGGTTATCAGTTTTACTTACGTAAATAAAAGTACCCAAAATTATACAGAACAACAAATTACTTCTTAATTTAGGAAGATAGTTTTTAAGTATTTGTCGCTTATATTAATATTTATTTTTTATTCCTAGGAAAAATATGAATACAATATTTTAGTGTGAAACGTAGATATAATTTGGTATTATTTTTGCTTTAATATTAAGTTTTCTGTATCATTATAATTTAGTGTGGTGAGATATCTTTTTACTATATGTTTAGATTTCAAAGTGGTGCAATTTTTGATGTCACAGACTTTAAGTATTTTGTTATAAATATGAGGATGTGAGAACTGTTGAAGACGTTGCACGAAAACAGACCTGGCAGCCGGAATTGGGATTTTAAATATTCATTTAGCGATTAGGTTGTCGTAAATAGGCGACTAAATTACTTGCCCATGGGTTTTTAAAACTGCGGATAGAATATAAATGTCCTACAGTATACACCCACCTTAGAATAATAACACATGGAAAACTGTGTCTACAACAAAACAAGCATTATTGTTAGGCAAACTTATTATTTTATTGTGCATGAGCGAATGTTCATCAAAAGCACAATGTTTAACAAACGCTTTTCAAAAGCAAACATAAACAGTTGCTATCCATGCCACTATTACTAGGCCTCTACGTTGTAACATTAATAAATTTACATTAGGATGATATTACGACAAGTACTTATGTCACACATTTTGATAGAAGTCAAATAATGATTTCTTATATTTACGTGAACACTATACATTGATTAAAACTACTTTTACGGATTTTATCGCGTTTTATTTATATTAATTTTAATACCCGAAGTTTCGGGTGCTTTCCAGCACCCATGGTCACGGGGGACTGAGGTGACTGACGTCCCAATGTCAAAGTTAATGTTTCTTCAGTTTCTTTCGCGAGGATTTATGGTCTATTTGTGGTCTGAGACCACCGAAAGAACACACAGAAAGAACATCGATTCCTACCAAGGATGATACGTGAGGCTATTGAAATTAAAAAACATCCTAATTTCAATTGAGAAGGAGGCTGGGTACTACCACCTGCTTGGGATCCTATAATTAATAAAATTAAATCCATACCACTGCAAGACTTCAAAATACAGTTAGTTCATTCTGCGTTGATCGGACCAAAGACAATAATTAAAAAGCTGAAGGTACTCCGGGTTAACTTTGACATCGGGACGTCAGTCACCTCAGTCCCCCGTGACCATGGGTGCTGGAAAGCACCCGAAACGTCGGGTATTAAAATTAATATAAATTAAACGCGATAAAATCCGTAAAAGTAGTTTTAATCGAAGTCAAATAATCTTAAAAATTTAATAGGTTAAAATACTATGTAAATGTGTATGTTATCAAAATATATTGTATGTTTTGATCTAACATATATAAATAATATTAACATAAAGTTGAAATATGATACATTCATAGTTTTCAACACTTATATTAATTCAAGATGCTATTAATACCAAATAATAAAATCATCATTTAATTATAAAACATGTAATTGTGCACAAAAACTTAGTCTTTTATATTGTTTATCCATAAGTAATAGACTTAAACAGCAGTCCTTACAAAATTACAAATCAAGAGTACAATGAACAAGAATATGAGAACAAGAATGTAGCCGTCTAGTGAAGAGTAGCATGTATTATGATCACACACATCGGCTTTATATATTGTTATAAAGCCGATGTGTTCCAGTGTGGTGGCGAATAGCTCACAATATAAAACGCAAAAACACATTCACTTATTTATTTTCTTTCTGCAACATAATCGGTTAGTACTTTGTAGATTACATGAAAGTTTTATAATTTACAACGAATGATAGTTTACCTGAAAGGTAATTATTGATTTGTGTAACGCAGTAGTATGTAGCTATGTAGTTATTTTCTTAATTCCATTAGAACTGCAACGAATTAACTTTAATTATTTACTCTTTATTTAGTTCTATTGGAAGCGTCACTCCAAATCCAATCAATCAAAACCATGTCATTTTGCCACCCATTTTTGGTTAATTGTCATAGCCCATAGCCAAAGACTTATTTTAATTTTATTTACGTTACTTGCGTACGTTACTTGCAGTATTGCCATATGTGTGCCGATACTGAAAGTTCATTTTCTATAGTCTCAGTGGAATATACGAAATATCAGAAATTCAAACATATTCGCACAGCTTATTCTCAAATAGTACTACATCGAAATCACAAATCTAGTTTGTACAACTAATAAGTAGTTTTATTTTACTGTAAACCAAGCCATGCGCACTTTTGATCGTACAATACCTACCTTACGTCCGCCAAGTAGTGAGCTAATTTGATCAGAATTATGTAAACGTGTGTACCTATGAAAAAACTATTTTTTCGTTTTAAACAAAACCAAAGACACTATGCAATAGATAATAGTATCAAAGACAAAGATATGCTCTTTTATTTTAAACCATAACCTGGCAATGTTTCTTAGAAAAAAAAGAAATCACTGAACTTTCGGCGTTCCACGTGTCGCTTTGATGAAGGTGCTCCGTCTTTTTTATAGAATTTTATATTTGTGTCTGGACTAAAAACGAAAGTATTATACTTTTTTATATTCCATGTAATATAGTAAACACGTAGATATATAATTTGTGGTATAAAAAGTGAAAAGTAAATTGCCAAAAGTACTTCAAAATCCGGAAGGCCCATTTTGGCGGTTGGGTCATAAATGTGTTATTTTTCAAATTCTCATTTATTTTTAGTGTAAAATGTAAGTAAAAATAGTTTTCTTACATATTTCAAATAACTTGACGTTTTATTTATTTCAAATTCACACAAAAAATATTTTTGAAATATTGTTCGAAATGTCATACAGATAAAATATTATTATTTTTTTTTAATATTTTAATATTTTGGTATGAGTAACTAATAGAAACACATAAAACATAAAAATATACATATTTCCAAACATTTTCATATAAATTTCTCCAAAAACAGAAGTGTAGAATTCAAATTAGTAGTAATTTTGTCACTAAAATTGAAGTCTATACCACTACTATGCTATACAGGGTAATTTACGTATTTTATTACAATTTCTAGCAACCAAAAAAAATTTTATTCGATAGTTTATACATTCAACAAGAATTCCTGTAAGTTTTATCCATAAATATTGTCTCAAAGTGAAAATATAGCAAAATTTGCAATATAGCAAAAAATTTGCTAATTTGCAAATTTTCCCGCCATTACGGTCCCGAGCGAACGGGAGTATAACATGTCGCGCGCTGTCAGAGCCCTAGGACTTAGGATGTTATAATTTGTTATAATATTTATTCTAAGACATACTGAGGATCCATCCATCACCACTTTTTTAAGTTCGCTATTTAAGGGGATAACACTTTGTTCTTGGGTTCATGATATAGTACTACTGAACTGATTCTTCTGTTCGTGAAAATAAGAACTGCCTGAACTGAATTACCAAAATTGACACTTTAATTACTTTTTACAATTACAACTTAATACACACTAATAATAAAACACGTTTGCGCTTTAGTTCGCAGTTATATCGCTTCAAAGTATTTGCTTGAATCGCCAATTCAATACTCACTCGGTCGCTTTTTTTCTTTTTTTTTTTTGCGCCCGAAGCAATTGGAAAGGGCTACCCTTTTTTTTGGGAGGGGGAAAATGCATTACGCATACCACGATAGCCAGTCTATCATGGTCATGAGGGACTCACTGCCTACCGAGGGAACCTAAGTGATACCCTCTAAAAACCGCCTTTGGGGACTGGCAACTGGCTGTTTAAGCTTCTTATGCCGTATCGGAAGCTACCCTCTTTTGGGAAAAGAGGGCGCAGGCGGCTACGAGCCGCTGAGGGAGTGCCTACGAAGGCAAATTAATTATGAATAATTTAATTTAATTAGA